AACTCTCTTCTCTCTCTCTCTCTCTATATATATATATATATATGGGTGTGTGTGTGTGGTGTGTGTAGAGTAAAAAATAATTAAGCATTATTTAAAAACACAGCAAAATAAATTGATACTGTTTTGGTTATAATGATTATAAATTATCACCATCATTAATTGGGAAAAACTAATTTTAACTCTTAGAGACAGTAATTAGATAAGAAATTATTTGAATTTAATATACAGTAGTAATATAATCAGATGTGTAAAGTGAAGGGCAACAAATTTATTATGACAAGTACCAAGACAATATTTTGGATAACAAAAACATTATAGTCTTTAATTTCTCAATTTTTCTGTACTGAACACTGATAAAGTTTAATGTTGAAAAAAAATCCAATTTAGGAAAAATAAAATAATTAATTTGGCTTTTTTGTTTTAAACCTTTCTTTAGGAGAGAGGAGAAGTATTTGCATGTATAAATATGCTTGCCTTGAGCAACCACTTATATCAATCACACTTGGATATCAAACGCTATATCTTGGAATTAACCTTAGAGAGTTGTCTTGGTGATCTGCAAGAAACTGGTAAGATATTTTTAATTTTAGCTTTTGAACCTTGAACATGCAAACTAACTCGACAATGTTTTTGATATCCATGTTACTAGTAAATTAGTTTAATATTTGGTATTTGAGTAAGAAAGCACATCATGCTAATATAATAATAAGTTGGCAAAGAATGGTTTATAACAATAATGAAGTGATTTATTTTTGGGGGAACATACTACATTTTTTCGACAGAATATTGGTATGTCTTCTTCAGGTATGACCTATAGCTAAACAATAAAGAGTTTATCTAATAAGTACAAAGAGAAAAGACACAAGGGTTTAATGTAAAGCAAATTATGTCATCAGATGACAGGAGTTATAGATAATGGTCAAGGCTGGTTGAGTATATGAGCAGTAAATAAACTTAGCCAACTCTTGCTGAATATATATATATATTCTTCCCTCATTCATATGGAATACTATTTATACCTTGCTTTTGTTCCTCTTGTAGGGGTTCTTTCGGATTAGGCAGTAAGTTGTATATCTCGTGTGAAGGTTTGAATACAGTTTTATGTTATTAAATAAATTGGTTACACCAAATGTCATTATTTTCATACACAAAGTAGAATCTAACAGCTGTTTTCCTTTTTTTTCAGATGTTAATGTAAAAAAAGAAAACAATAAAGTGACCACTACATATAAGATCTAATCACCACCTGTCACTGAAGGATTTATCCCACTTCACCTATGTAAACCTTGCTGTATAACTTTGTACCCATAAAGATGACTTACAAGCTGAATTGAACTACTTAATGTAGCATTATCTAGAAGTTTCAATCCCAACACCATATTTAGAGCTTTTATTAAACTTCAGAACCATAAAAAATATTATGATAACTTTTAACCTTTCTCTTATCAACAACATAAAGCATAACAAGTTTGTTTCATACCCATTTATTCCAAATATTGCTAATGAAATTATCAGCCTATTTAGTAACTTGAGCATTGACATTAAAACTGTATTCAAACCTTCACATAAGATAAAATATCTTACAACCTAACTCGAAAGGAACAAAAGCAGGGCATATATGATATCCCATGTGAATGTGGGAAGAAATATATAGGATAAATGCCATGTTCCTTGGAAGTAAGACAAAAAACACCAAGATCACATGTGTAGAGGTAGGTTTCATATATCTTCTTTAACGTGTCATCAATTTTAATCAGGTCACAAAATACTTTGGTACAAAATATTTCTTCTACAACAACCAAAAACTAAAAAGGAAAGAGATTGTTTAGGAACTATAGAGATCATCAAAACAAGCAACATCAGCCATATTTGGTTTAGTTTTTCCACTGCCCATACATTTGATCAGCCCTGACATTGATCAATGACCCTGTCACCTCATTACATCATTTTCTTTATATTAAACTCTTGTGTCTTTTGCTTTTGTACTTATATATAAACCCTGTATTGCTTAGCTACATATCATATCTGAAGATAACCAATAAACTTAAAATAAGACCCAAAACTTGAGCGCTTTCGAATAGTTGACTATTCTTCTTCAGAACATAGATAATTTTGAAGTTATTTTCGATCTTCAAGAATTTGCATGCACATTAAGACTTTGGGAATTTTCCCACAATAAAACTACTAACGCAAATGATATCGGTACACATTTTAAAGAAAAATCCACCTGATCACCCCCAGTCAACAGAGAACCACACTTAGAAAGCTTTATTACTGCAATTGAGAATGAAGTAATTCAAGCCATTAACTCTGACTTAAAAGTACGGAATAATCTCTCCTACAACGAACATGTTGCTCTAATTTCACTGAAACATGACAATGACATTATTATTAAACAAGCTGATAAGGGCGGCACCATTGTCATTCAAGACAAATCCGACTATATTAACGAAGCTTATCGACAACTTAATGACATAAACTACTATAAAAAAGTAGATTTCGACCCCACCCCGGAATTTGTTAAAATAATTGAAGACAAGCTAGGTAGTTTACAGAAAAACTAACACATAAGTCATGAAACTTCACAGTTCTTTTCACCTAAACACCCAGTTCCAGGTCACTTTTACATGTTACTAAAGATACACAAACCTAACAATCACCCTTTGTTCTCCTGAAGAAGAATAGTCAACTATTCGAAAGAGCTCGAG